TTTTTTTTTTTTTATATATATATTTCATATTCCAGAGCAGTTGAACAGTATTGTCACTGTAGCCGAATGATGAATGATCTGATCTTATGGTTCAATCCCAAGTAAGGGTCTCAGAGTGAATATAACTAGCAATAAGTTGAGAGAAGTATGTGTTGGCAAGCTTGAAAGAACAGTCACACAATGCTGTGCAATAAAAGACTTTTCTCTCGTTTGCTGAGTGCTTTATGATACATCACTTTTTCAAAGTCTCTTTGGGTAAAAGCATCTGTTAAATGAATAAATGTACATATAGATCTGTAAAACGGCGAATGTATTTGTTTGTCACAGGATTGTGGGTGAGAACTGTCATGTAGGTATGTTTGGGAGGGCATCCGGTAGATGGCTGAGCTTTTGGCACTAATGCCGATGTTTGGTATGTGTATGTGTTTGGATTTTTAATTAGAGTCACTTACACAGCTATTGCTCCTCTCACAAGATCACGTAATGAATCAACCACAGCCTTTAAAGGGCACAAATGAAATACCTGAATCTGGTGACAGATTGTAAAGGGCAACTGCAATTTACTAATCAAAATATTAAACTAGAAATACCCTCTTGCAGCTTTCAGTAAATGAGCATGAAATGACACCACAGGCTTTCCTCATTAAAGTTGTTATGTTATCTAAGCTGTCAAACATGTTCACTGGGAATATGTTTGATAATTATAGTCTTCAGTACTTCACCAATCGGCAGTGAGGGTCAATCTATTGCTGTAGACACAGCACTAAGCATATTTAACATATCATAAATTAACAGAGTATACATTTTAATATTTTGAACTGCAACTTTGTAAGCCCCCTCTGGCTATTTAACTTGCCGATGTTTGCACTGGGTTGCTCTTTGTACGTGTTTGTTCTGTTCTGAGCTATTGCGTTACCCAGGGATGCCTCTTTGTATTGATTTAATTTCAAGCTCTGAAAGAGGGACAGACAAGCTGACATGCAGATGGTCTCTCTCTACCTTTCTCTCTCACACACACACACTCAATCTCCTGCGCGTGTGTGATTGCATGATCCAGCTTGACACGGTCCAAGGTGACTGGCTCAGTATGATTGAGAGGTTTACTCCTCAAGGAGGAGGAGGCAGAAGGGGCAGAAGGAATCACAAAGAGAGAGAAGGGCTGCAAAGAATGAGTCAGACCAGTGAAGGGAAGGAGGGAGGGAGGGAGAGAAAGAGGATGATGGAGGCACAGGGAGTGACAGCCAGGAAGTTCTCAAATGTCTTCTGGTGAATTTGTACCTCTTATCACTTCTTATCCAGTGCTGTCCATAATGGGACCTGATCCTCAGGTTACTTTTAGGTTTTATTCTAAAAGTGCCCCCTGACTTTTCTTATTTTAAGCTGCTGCCATCCACTTTCACCTGTCTGTTCGCTCAAACTAAGTTTGAGACAGTAGAAGCAGTTGCTTCTTTTACAGATTTCCATTATTATTAGGTTGAAGGTCCCTTCATAAACCGATAATTTAGAGGTGAGTTTTAAGTCCCAAGTGAAGAAATGTTCAGCCTCACATATTTTGAACTGCAACTTTGTAAGCCCCCTCTGGCTATTTAACTTACATGTATGACACAAAAGACAATATTTAAAAATTATGTTGATTATGTCTTTTATGTATATATATATATATATATATTGCTTGTTTTTCTATATATTCCATATTTATTTGAAAATATATTAAGAGAAAGAGGATGATGGAGGCACAGGGAGTGACAGCCAGGAAGTTCTCAAATGTCTTCTGGTGAATTTGTACCTCTTATCACTTCTTATCCAGTGCTGTCCATAATGGGACCTGATCCTCAGGTTACTTTTAGGTTTTATTCTAAAAGTGCCCCCTGACTTTTCTTATTTTAAGCAGCTGCCATCCAGTTTCACCTGTCTGTTCGCTCAAACTAAGTTTGAGACAGTAGAAGCAGTTGCTTCTTTTACAGATTTCCATTATTATTA